GCTGGCCAAGTGAAGTGGTAATCGGCCTTTGAGCATGTGGCCTAACCCATGAAATCAAAATGGAGAATTTTATTTTTTATTTTTATGAAATATTGCAGTGTTTATTTTAAATGATTTATCCTGGTAACTTTTGATCAAAAATAACTAACACAAAATTGTTAAACGACCTCTCTGATGACGTGTTTCTTTTTTCTTTTTTTTTGGCGGGAGGGAGGGCATCCGAAATCGCATAGGCCTACTTCCCTACAGTAGGCGAAAAACAGTATGTGACGAAAGAAGTATGTCCGAATTCACAGTACTCATAAATGAGTAGGCAAAAAGTACCCGGATGACCTACTTCTTCCGGCGAGATTCTGAAGTGCTCATACGATGGACACTTTACTATCCCCATGAGGCCACGGGAGAGGATATATATGAATGGCAGTAAAGCGACGCAACTGACGTGCATGATTTTATTTATTTTTCTCCACAAACCAGGGCTGCGTTCCAGTCCAAACTTCCCTAAGCACTTCCCCTCGGGGGAATCCCTGCCGCCATTTTGAAGTGCGTTCCTCTTCATGAAGGGGAGGAGGGAAGTTTATATGGACAGACCCTCGCTCCCTCGATTTTGACCGTACTTCATGTACACTTCAGGCAGCTCCATATACCTTTAATTTACCCCACCACAAACAACTCTGATATATTAATTATTAAAAAAATGAAACAACTCAAACACACCTATATAGATATAGAATGCTGCATTAAACAAATAAATAGTAAATCAACCCCATAGTGGATTCTAAGTGATCAAGGGCTTAGCACGTTCCAATTCAGCCTATTGCAAAGGTTCCGCCAGTAGTGGGCACTCATGCAACATAAGCAATGACGTACATCCGAGTGAACGAGGCGGAGGGAAGTCAGCGAGTGAAGGGCATGACAATTTTGGACTGGAACGCAGCCCAGTTCGGAAATCCTGCCCTGCAGCTAATTTCATTGGTTAAGTGACGGGTAGGTTTAGGGATTCAGTGTTTGGTGTAGGCAATTAGTACAGGGATTGACATGACCAATGAAATCTTTAGAATCGGCGGGCGGGAAATCACACAACCGACTCTGGTATGTCACGTAATAATGACATGACAACATGGCAAATGTAGTAGGCCTATGTCCATATTACATTCATACTACACACATTCATACTATATTGAACATACTTTTTAGCAGTTAAGTAGTAATGAAGTAATTAGGCTACTTGTTCAAAATAAGTACCTACTCAAGAGAGTATGTGATTTCAGACGCAGCCAACCTGTCGCTCACATGAGATCACAGCAATAGCAAACCACAACGATCCAAAGATCCAATCAATTCATGATGGACAAAATCAAGTACCGCCTTATATTTTTTTACACTCAGATATACATCGCAATAGGGAAGAAAAAATGATGACAGCAACTGTTTCATGCCGACTTCGTGCTTTAGAAATTCACACTCAGAGAGGTTTGGCTCCATTTAGCACATGACTCATCATTATACTCTGATTCGATTGTTATACGTGAGAATAACCAGATTTTGATTAAACCTTCTTACAATTGTAATAATGTCACACAGAAAGACGTCATTTGTTTTTAACATTGCAAAAAGCATCTTGCGTATTAGTGCCATATTGCACACCTCACTGCTCGCACAAATGCATAAAACCAGACCATAGCTGACACAGACGAATGGCAGCTTTTGTGTTGGGCCGCTTTGTGAAAACGATTCTGAAGCGTCTATCCATCAAAGCATGAATGACAGATTTATGGCTTTACTGTTGAGACCATTTCCCTCTTTACATAGATATTACCTCCTAAATCTTGCAGCTACATTCGAGTTATTCAACCTGGCAAGCATGAAAGCATGAGGCAAGCATTGGAGGAGAGACCTGCACCCACATGCTGGCACGGGGAGAAGTTATCATGGATTAACGCCTTGTTTCAGCTCAAAGGAATGCCTCATCAGGACTGCCTGGGCGGGATTGTAGGAGCAGGCGAGTGAGGATATGGAGGTGTTGAGTCAGTGTTTCCATGGCGGCGCTGGAGAAGAAAGCACGGCGCGCTCTCTGTGCAGTGACACCTCATTGACAGGTATGTCAGAGAGGTGTGCTGGTGTCCGGAGCCAGGCGGGCCGTACCACAGAACTTGTCAGAGTAAATCTGTCGTCGCAAGCCCCTACGAGGTCTCACCAGAGTGCGAGGCGACACGGTTCTTGTCCGCCCCCGCGAGACAAGGCCGCGGGAAGACATGGCGTTTGACCAAGACCACCAGTGCATCTTGGCCGGTCCTTGTGAAATAGTTTAAATGGTTTCAAACCTCATCCACTGGAGCTGCGAAGCGTTTCATTGGACCCGCCATAATAAAAAGGCTCTATATTTGAATTTCAATTTATATGACTGTTCGAATTAATATAAGACGACTATTTTTGGTATATTCTGCCCGTTGAGAGGAATAAAGGCGGTGGTCAAAAAACCAATACTCTATGAACCTGAAATAGCCCTCGAGAAAATAGTCCACATGATCCTCTTGATACTCCACTCTGCATTCCCCTCAGCTCAGCACGTTTGTTAAGCCTCAGATGTAAACATGCTTGTTTCCCAGCTCAACCGTTCTTCTCAGCGCTGAACATCGCAGATGTGTGCGTAGTCGGAGGGAGAAAGAGAAAATCCACTCAGAAGAATGTGGCTGTTTGACGTGTGCTCTCACAGCTAATAATGGATGAGAGCAGAGAATATTAGAGTGGCCCGGTTAGGAGCTGACATGTTGTGATAGAATAAAAGTGCTATGTAGGTCTTCAGAGGGAAATTCCCAAGTGTTTACACTATGAGGGCCAAAACGACAGTCATAAGAAGGTCTCAACGGGAAGCATAGCAGGCTACACTAGCCTCCTATTTGTTGTAACTGACAGATCCAAAACTGGGTGACGTTTAAAAGGATGCAGTGCATGTCTATATTGACATCATGGAATATAATAGGTTCAATATGAGCTCAATCGAGAGCATTTTTGACAATATTAATTACCATAAAAGTAATTTCCACTTGCTTCTTTAAAAATGCAAATAATAAGATAATTGAGAAGCAGAAAGGGGTAGCTTTTAATTTGATAAAACATCTTGCATTAATTGTTCTATTATTTTTTTTACAAAAATGCCCCATTAGTTAACGCAAAAACTAACAAGGAGCAATACAATTGTTGCCGTATTTATTAATCTTTGTTAACGTTATAAAAATACAACTGGTCATTGTTAGTTTGTTAGCTCAGGTGCATTAAAATAATATTAACAGATACAACTTTTGATTTTAATAATGTAGTACTGAATGTTGATTAATAAATTCATTAGAATAAGTATTTTTCATTGTTCATGTTAACTAATGTAGTTAACTAATGTTAACCAATGGAACATTATTGTAAAGTATTACCAAAACTGAGCTGTAAAGTTCTCATTTTTATGGACGTTTTAGCGTTTCGTTGTAAAATTGCATTTTATACAGAAAAGGTTATTGATAACCATTTATGTGATTTTTTTTTTTTCTCTCTCACTAAAATTATGTTAACATGCATATTGTTTAAGCCTTGGTGCTATACTTTTAAAATATTTGAAAGCTGGCCCCATTTCACTTCCATTGCAAGCTCCTTGCTTTAACCTGGATTTTTGCTTTTTTGAAAGAAAAGGAGGGACATGTCGACATGATTTTTTGTGGTAATCAACATTATGCCACAAGTGCTGTCAGCTGAGTTTGACTTGTAATATGCTTCAAATTAATTTGTCCACTGAGAGTCATCTCACTGACTGAAGTGCACTAAACGTCTGCACTCAAGACCATGTTGCTTTAAAAAAAGTCCTGAATCCAAGAGCATAAAGGATGATCTCTGCAGACAGAGTGTGTGTCCTGCAACAGTAGTAGAGCGATAGACAAGAGACGAAGAGACAGAGAAATGTTATTGCACTGGAAGATGGATGGGAGTCTGGCGCGCGTGCCAGGGGGAGACTCCACATTTCCAGACTGGCTCTGTTCTGGCGGGTGACTGAGTGTGTGTACGTGTGTGTGTGTATGTGCGAGTGTGTTTGGAGGGGGCTACACTGCAGCACACTGTTCAAACTGTTTATGCATACCAGCCTGCTCTGAGTGCCTCTTTGTCATGAGCTGTTTACTTAAACTTATTTTGGGAAAATTCCACATGACTGGTCGGGATTTCACCATAAATCATTGAATCTGCAGCTTTGTGTAATGATAACTTCTGTCAGTCATTTAGTCCTCATAAGCTCCTTTTCTGCTTTGTGTTTTTCCATAGGACCAACCGGCATTGTGCAGCCTATTGTGAGTGGTTAAACGGTAAGTGTGTGTGTGTGCGCATGCAAGAGTATTGGGAGACTTTAAAGTCTCAGGAATTGAGTGAATAATATGCAATTGTCCTCATTAACAATATTTATTTGGAGGCATTTTGTTCACATACAGTCACAATTGTTCTAAGTTTAAAAAAACACACCATACTCCACTAGATGGCCTCAGTATATACTGTATTAAATATGCTGCATAAGGCAGTGGAAAAGCTGAGTCAACATTTCTAATGGAATACAACATTTTTATATCCGCATAACAATATGAATGAAGGATTGAAAAATGTACATGCATTTCTGATATGTTCCCATTTTCTTTTAATGACACCTGCACTCAAACTGCCTTTGACATGAATTCTTAAACATTTTTATAAATATTTCTATATTTAAAAATTTCACAAAATTCTACTTCCGTGCTTAAATAAAAAGAAATCCCTAGATGTTTAATGTGGTCTCAGACTTTTGGACTTCGCTTTGGACCTTAATATTAAAAGACAAACAAGCAATTCAAGAATAAGTGATTGTCCCTCTTAGAATGAAGTTTGCTTGGAGTCAGTTGTTTTCTGGTAGACATCATCTATGATGTCTTTCGCTCTGTTGGAGAGAAAAGGTAAAGTAAAACATTAGATTATCACAGAGAGGTAATGTGCTGAAAATAACAATGACTTAATGTCATACTCCATTTCTTACCTCAGATTTACTTTGTATCTTTTATATCCGTTGTAGGATGTAACAATGACAAACACAAGCAATAAAAATCCAGCCACAGCAGCAAGACCAATAAACACGTTTGGAAGACTCGACTTGGGAGTATCTACAAGAAAAAACAAAACAAAAAAACAATTTGATTTATGACACGTACGTTATGTAATTTGAGATAAGATGCTGATAGAGCTGGTCCATGTTTTAATAGTTCATGGGGTCATATAGTGAAGGACAGGGCAAATCCTTGCAGGGTTTTATCTATTTGCTGACAGAGCGATACAATTTGATGGTATTGTTTATTTTAATGTTGTAAGCACACATAACATTTTTATCAAGATGCCAAACCTGATGACTATCATGATAAGTTGTCTTAAACTGTCAAGATAGTTAAGGACATATAAAAGAGATTGTGTTTGACATTATATGCAGTTGATTATTTATATTGTCAATAATTTAAGAAGCATATTTTAGGGAATGTCAAGTTTTTTTTCTTCTATAGTATGATTTTTTTAACCTCTCAAAATAACACAAATATTTCATATCCCTGACCTTTAAGATACTAAACAAGTATGTGAATTTATATAAGATTTGTAAGCAAGTGTTTCTTTTTTTTTTTCACCTCCAGAATCACATGACTCTCCGTTGGATATCAGCATATGTCGGGTGTTATCCAGTGACCCGTCATTGATTTCTGGTTTTATACCCAGTAAGTGGCACATCAAAGGGTAAACGTTGACAGTCTCAAATGGTCCAACCAACAAGTTTTTATGGAAATCTGGTCCCACTGCCCTGAAGAAAGGCTTCATGTCCATGACTTCATTGTCATAGCCATGTTCCCCATTATTGGTCTGGAATGGGTAGAACTGGAAGAGCATTTAGAACATAAGATAACATGTGATGTAATGTTTTCCATGTATTATTGCTTATTGTGCCCATTATTGTTGTTTACTTCATGCTCACCCCATTGATGACATATCCTGGGTCAGCATAGAGAATGATGGGTAGGATACGAGGATGTTTGGCGTAATGCAGTCGAGCAGGCATGTCTTCTTTCTTATAAACGTGAAGGTTTGGATGACCTCCTTTCAATGCTTGATAAACCTTTTCAAGCATCCCTTCTTTGGGCAACAGCATCCCAGAAGGTCCATAATCCACCATGTGGAATTTCAGATCGCTCAAGGAGAATCCTGGGATGTCATCGAGTATTATCTCTTTGACTTGCTCTCCTTTGAACACGGTGCTCATTCCATGGTCAGCTGTGATGATAACATTCAGATGGTCACTGAGCCTGTGTTTCTCAGCAGTTTCCCGTATGTAGCCCACAGTTCGGTCCACTTTCTTGACTGCCTCACGTCGCTCAGGTGAATCAGGTCCATACTTGTGGCCGGTCGAATCTGGTTCGCCAAAATACAAAGTGACAAAGTCTAAGTCTTCATCTTTAAACCATTCTCTCATGACTTTATCCACACTCTCTCTCCATGCCGTCTCATTGGTGTAGTCATAAAACTTTGGTTCCACCTCCTTCACTTGGACTGTTTCATTATGGTACTTGGCAGCAGTGCCAGGGAAGTGTAAGGATCCTGTTTTAAGCCCCTAAGAAAGGACGCATTTACAAGTCAGTTTATAGCTTATTTAATGCCAATGTAACTAAGTAATTTTTTTCTCTTGCTAAGTTTAAGATGTTATAATAAATTATTTAAAGGTAATATCATGAAGAACATTTGCATGTTGGAGGTCACTAAATAATGAACTTTATTTTTTTAACTTTGAGATTTACTGAAACTTTTGTCGAGTTGTAATAGTTTGAGAGATGTACCTGTCTTTGAGCTGTGATCCAAATGGGTAGACTGCCATTATCCCAGTAGTCATCCACAAACTGTGTCATGTAGTATTGTTTCTTCTCCTGTGTGGTTGTGTTGAACCAGTTGTTATGAATCACACCATGGTTTTCAATGTACCTTCCTGGGGAAAAAATGCATATTTTTGATATGGCTGAGGCTTCCTCAGAACTTTATATTTGAGTTCATGCAATTTTCAGACACGGATATCCAAAGAAACTAAAATTTCATTCAAGCTATCAAACCAAATGGGAATCAAATCCATTGCCTTGGCATTGCTAGTATTATGCTTGTCTGTTTGAGCTATGTGAACAATCAAAATATGGAGACCCTAAAACTCCAAATCATTTTGTGGCCATCCATTGTTCTTATTCTGTTTCTTAATTTCTAAAAGAAATTTGGACTTTTACTTCACTACACTTAAAAATGTGCCAATTTAATTGCATTAGATAACAAAATATCAAAGCAAGCGGCATACAAGCAATCAATGCTAGACCCCTCTTTTCTCAGAACTAACTTTTATTTTCTTAGGAATTTTTTGTGATCTTTATGAAATTAATTTAAAAATAAAGCATATACACTAGTTTAAAACTTGTGGTCTCTTGTGCTCTTATGCTCACCAAGGCTACATAGAAAAATACAGTAAAATAGTAATATTGGGAAATATTTTTACAATTTAAAATAGCTTTTCCCCCCCTATTTTAATATATTTTAAAATGTATAGTTTATTCCTGTGATGGCAATTCTGAATTTTCAGCATCATTACTCCAGTCTTCGTTGACACTTGATCCTTCAGAAATCATTCTAATATGCTGATTTGGTGCTCAATAAACATTTCTTAATATCAATGTTGAATGAAAACAGTTGAGCTGCTTGATATTTTTGAGGAAACCAAGTTCAAAAGAACATTTATTTTAAAAAAAAATTTTGTAACAATGTAAAAGTCTTTGTCACTTTTGTTCAAATTAACTTTGCAGAATTAAATTATTCATTTCTTTTAGTTACTGAGCCCAGTTTTAGGGACACTTTATGTATTATCTATTTACTTTAAATTAGAAATGTTTTGTTATTGTATTTTTGTCCTTACCAGATAACAGGGTGAAGTGTGTAGGACTAGTAATGGTCAGGTAAGGTGGAGTGACATATGCGGCTTTGACTCCTTCTTCAGCCATTTTGTCCAGGTTTGGGGTGTCCACATCTCGGTCGTAGTCCCACCTGAACCCATCGAAGCTGATTAGCAGAAGTTTGTTTCTGCCTGTGGTGCAGCGATCTCTGGCTGGAGCAGAAAGAGACGCAGGGAATATAAGCAGCAAAACGCTCAGTGCTAATAACATGACTTGTGTTTTACACAGAAACGTTGTTGATGAAACAATCTTGCTTCTCTCTGGTTTGCCTGATGGTTGTTCCTGATCTAATAGCCTCAGCTTTTGACTAATCCTTTTGTTTGTGTTCTTTTCTGGACACTAAAGTTCACATCACAGATGTTTATGAGATAAATTACATGCTTATGCTATCTTATGTTATCTTATCAAGTGGCTTATCAGGAGTTGTGAGACTAAAGCAGTTATTTTCTGTGTAACTAACCTTTCTATGATTTACAACTCGCTGCTTATATAAAATGAAATATGGTGTTTTATACTGTATCAAGGCTGCGTTTTGTGAAGGTAAAGATAAGTGTCTAGCAGTCATTTACATCTGCATTGCTTAATTGAGTTATTTATCTACACTTGTGCAATTGTGTTGGGGAAAAAATCCCCGATGCATTTGGACTTTATCAGTCAGATAGTGATTCAGACAGGTGAGCTACATAGGAAAGCTGCGTAAGGGCTGTTTCTTTGCAAAAAAATTGCACATTTGAAAGAAGATTACTGTGACCCTTGACTAATTTTTGCTCTTAACCAACTTTAGAATCATCCCTGCTGAAATGACAAGCAAAACTTGATTTGTTTTGCTCCCACCAGCCTTCTTAACTTGTAATTTCCTTGGCTGACCAGTTTTATGCTAGACCAGCTTGGACATTCGTGCTGGTATGTTCCGCATACAGATGATCCTGCATTCTAGATCTTTAATACCGAGTTATGTATGATCATTAAGAACAATAGATATTTTCATAGTTTGTAACCACACAGTATGTATGTCACAAATACATATCATGTACACTAGCACACAAATAATACATGACCCTTTGAAATGAGTATTGCATTCCTATGCCATTTCATTGTGCTGTTGCATACATGTGCATATATTAGATATTCACAATAATACTATGCAGAACTTGTAGGTTTCATTTATAAGATCTTCAGTGCCTCAATTCTATTCATTAGTATTATGCAGAACATATTTGTATACACCAAGACCTGAACACCACAGGCATGCTCTCCGTCTGCTTGTTTAATTGGTATTTTCATGGTCTTGACCCAGGCTTTCAATGACTGAAATGCACATATGATACACATTCAATCATGACCCCATAACACATTTAATTTCATAATGCAGTTTATGATGCACTTTCCCACCACCCCCTACCAAGTTCAGTCAAATGCTAGCGGTTTAAGCCATGGTAATGTATCATGATGACTACTGAAAACAATGTACATAAAGCTCAGTGGACAACATAATTTTTCTTTTGCTCTGTTAGAGAGAGGTAAGGAAATTCATCAGATTTTCACTAAACAGAAAGAAACTGTTCCCAAAAATAACAAGTCTTAATATATCTATGTGCCATACTTTTGACTAATGTTGCATCTATTATATTCGGTGTATGTCGGGTGTTATCCACTGACCCGTCATTGATTTCTGGTTTTATACCCAGTGGACAGTAACAAAGTACATTTACTTGAGTACTGTACTTAAGTACATATTTTGAGTAACTACTTTACTTGAGTATTATTTTTTCTGGAAACGTTTTACTTTAACTTCACTACATTGGAAAGACAAATGCCGTACTTTTTACTCCACTACAATTCTGTCAAGGTCCTTGAGTAGAAAGTAGTAACGTCAGTCAGGGGATGATTTTGGTTGCAGGGGTTGCATTTTGGTTGGAAATGAAACGTTGACGTCAACATTCAACGTCGGACAGACGTTGGATTTTGGTTGGAAATGAAAGTCGGGTTGACGTCAGAACCCGGAACAGAATGTTTTCATTTTCAACTACAATACAATGTCTGTCCAACGTTGGAGATTAATGTCAATCTGGTGTTGGATTCTGACATCAACCTGATTTTCATTTTCAACGTTGGGTTTGGTCTTCTAAATGCGAATTTTGTCATTGTTTTGGAGCACATAGCTTATAGATAACAGTAAGGCTAACATATTCATACTAAAAGCCAAAAAAACTTTATAGGGCACTATTTGAGGGAACAGCCATTTGGGAGTCCGAAACCATTGTGGACGTTATTGAGTGCACTTATTCAATCTCACATTAAATCCCACTACTGGAACTGTGTTCTAGAAATAAATTTGATATTGATATGAGGGTAGGTAGGCAGGCATAGATTCAGAGGTATTGTACTGTAAGTATTACAATGCAACAATAATAAAACAATGCATTGACTTAACTTTTGATACTTAAGTACTTTTCAAGACAAGTACTACTTAAAAATCGGTCTTTACAACTTTTACTTGTAACGGAGTAATATTTGACCAGTAGTATCTGTACTTTCACTCAAGTAAGGAAGGGTTAGGGTTAGGGTTAGGGTCCCACTGCCCAGAAGAAAGGGATCATGTCCATGACTTCATTGTCATAGTCATGTTCCCCTTTATTGGTCTGAAGTGAGTAAAACTGGAAAAACGTTTAGAACAAGACTACATACAATAATGTCTTCAATGTATGTTGGTGTCACATCTCGGTCGTAGTCATCTGAACCCATCAAAAATGGTCAGCAGTAGTTTCTTTCTGCCTGTGGTGCAGTGATCTCTTGCTGGATTTGAGAGAGACGTAGGGAATATAATTAGCAAAATACTTAGTGCCAATAACATAATGACTATTCCACTACTCTGCTTTACACAAAGTTTTTTTTTTTTTTTTTTTTTTTTTTTTTTTTTGATGGTTATGGATTTTCAGCTCTCGCCTCTTGACTCATTTTTTTTGCATTAGTACTTTGCCATCAGTTTCTGCAGACTTAAGTTCACATTATCATTGAGGTTTATTGGATGAATTGCATGTTTGTGTTATCTTGCGTTATCACAGTCTTATCAGAAGTTATAGGGCAATGACAATTTACTCAGCTCTTTTCCTTAGATTTATAGTTAACTGCTTTTAAAAATAAATTAAATGTAGAGTATGAAGTATTTTGTGTGCCCATATAAGAATCTATAGTCAGGCATTTTCTATCTATGCTTGTGAAATTGGTTTGAAATGTAATATCGCTCGATCATTTTCGTTAATCTTTTGATAATCATTCAGGCGGTGCTTCAAAAGGTGACCTATAGTGTTCAAACTGCATGAGGCAGTTCCTCTTGAAAAATTCAACTTCATTCCCATAACTCCACCTCCAGAAATTAATAGTTGAATTAATTGTCAATATAAAACAGAGGCTAACAATTAAATGATATCCACTGAAGGTAGGTGGGACATATCGAGACACTTTAAAACCCTTTGTTGTGTACTATTGATAATGTGATAAAGTGCACCTCACCACCATCCCCCCCTTTTTTTTTTTTGCTTGCTTTTCCCGAAACCTTTTCTTGAAGAGTTTTCAAGAGAGCCCGGCTGTCCTACCTGTCCTACCTTACATACATAGTGATTTTACCTGATTAGAATCGTCATGGTTGCTTTAACAGTCGACCACATTTGTGTTATACATCTCACACTACACAAACTTGACCACCAGAGGGTGTTGAGCCTTTGACTAAGAAATACTCAAACTCAGAACTGGCTCTTTGTTGAGATTCAGTAGTCACATTTAAGGTCCCCTCCCTTTTACAGCGACATCTCTTCTCTTCTCTCATGATGTTTACTGTCACTCACATGAGATCACAGCAATAGCAAACCACAATCAATTTCCTATGGATAAAATCAAGTCAACCCTTACAATTTTGCTTGTTCAAAAAGCCGTTTTACTAAAGCCGTTATACTCAGATATACAGTAGGCTCCGTCACAATAGGGACGAAAAGACTATTCCATTTCATGCTGACTTTAAAATTAACTTGATGGATTTATGAACACTGAAGCTTTAATTCAGTTTTAACATGAATGGAACTTCATGGAAGCAATATGGAAGCAATAAAAAAACAGAACACAAGAACACATGAAAAATGCAAATTTCTTCCTTTTAAACCAATCGACTCGTTCTCTCATTCTAGAGAGCTTTTTATTGGACAAAAAAATGTGTATGCTTAGTACACTACAGGATCAGACTGCAATCATTTTGTGTGATACTAGAGACATGGGACCTCTGGTAATACAACAAAAGCAATAAAATGGGTGTTTCATTAAACACCAGTTTTTAATGCTTTGATGTCATCCCAGAGGTCAGGTCAGGTGAAGGTAATCATTTGGAATATGAGAATGACTCTCTATTATGAGTGGTGGTTGAGTTTCCTATACAGCCACATGATGGCGTCAGACACCTTCCAGTTTCTGTCCTGATTACACTAAAGTCTGGAATCCTGAATTTAGGATACTGTATTTCTTTCATGAAGGAACCCAACAGGACAGAAAATTAAATCCTACAGTCTGGGTGCTTTCTTCGTGTGACCTGTGGCTTTGTCCACTTACTCATCATGAGATTGGGGGAACTTTTCACACGAATTTAGGATTCCTACAGAATTTTTAATATACCTTTTGGAAAATATAGATCTCTCTATGGTTTGTGCAAGTCTTTTTAAGGTCTGTTCAGATTATGTTCATTAGATTTTTGCTCATGTAATATTTTACATGAATAGCTTGGTTGTATTTAAAAAAAAAAAAAACTAACTACAAATACTTTATTTTAAATTGGTAAAAAAAAAAAAAAAAACCTTGTCATGATTTCAACAGAAGTACAAAAAGAAGCACCATAGGCTGTGTAACGGGGCCTTGTGAGACAAACGAATATTGCCGAAAATTGTATAGGCTACAATCAGAATTTAGTTAGACGTTCCTTGCGTCTGAGCTCCACCCCTTAATGGTCCTGTCTCCTTTAAAATACAACAAGATGTGCTGCAAATGAGCAAGGAGCTCGTCTTAGATTGTCAGGGCCATCAGCCAATCAACTGTTTCATGTACAGATGTGGGTGTGGTCTTTGAAACCGTAGAGGCCTTTACGCAATTCTACGTAAATAACTAAAAATCAGTTGCAACGCAACACGAGCATCGCGCGTGATTGTGTAAATTCCGGATTATTTGAACAGTTAACGAGGGATGATTTTACATCAAATAAATAATCATTGGTAAGTAGCCTACTTACTGTAAGTTTTCTCACATCGCAGGGAAATACATCGTCATCATCGGCTAAAACGCATGTGCATGTTACTTTTCTTCCTGAA